TCTCACCGCTTGTATTTGTTAATTAATCACATAATATTTGAAAATGTTTGTCCATATTCATATCCTCTCCCTTGAACAAAGATTCTTTCAAAAAAATTTCATAAGCTGTACTTCAATGTTCTTTTTATTAGTTTTTTATGAAAAAAAATAAAGGAGAAATAAGTTGGATCATTTATAGCTAAAACATATCTGCGCATATCGTTCTTTGTTATTATAGTATAAAATAATATTTTTGTGACGTCATTAATGTGACGTATTACCCAGAATCAAACCGGAATGCTCAAAATGTCAAAATTCTTAAAGAATTTCACACTTCCTGGTTAAATTTCGCATTGGCCACAGGCCTCGACGAAAGTAATTTTGCTCTCATTTTGATTGTTTGACACTTTGACGCAGTTTGCAACAATATTTAGCGTGATGGAGGCCTATGGCCACATTGAAAATTCAACTTTTGCTAACAAACAAATCCTGATTCAACGCCGCCATTTCCGAGGTACGATATTTTATGTGACGAAATAATTGTACCAAGAATTTGTACAATTGCTATAAATAGAAATACATTCTACAATTGATTATTTTCTTATTATTTATAACAACCAAAAAAAAAAAAAGAAAATGGATTAAAAAGTCTTTGTTTTGAGCTAAGCTTCGTCAAACGCCGTCCTGTCGAGGTTTTTGAACACAGATACGTCCTCATAACTGTTTTTTTTTTATAAGAAAACAAAACAAATTGGTGGAAATAAAAATTGTGATTTTCCAAATTATTTTAAAGTTCATTTTCACGTAAAATTCTACATCCAGCAGATCATTTGAGTGTCAACATTAAAATTTAATACACATTTCTATTTATATACACGTATTTTGTTTTATAAAGACGAAATCGTCGAAATGGAACCTCTGTGGACTGTAATCTCATATTGACGCTTTGATGAAGTGCTTTCTTTCACGTCCGCATTTCCTAAGTTAACATTTTAAATAATCACTTCGGATGGTGTAAATAAATTACAGAAATATGAACAATAACATACATTGGAAATCGTAGGACATAAGAAGAAACCACATGATAATTTTGATATCATATTGCACAGTTAAATAAGCTTTTCAATATTTTTTTTAAAATAAAGATAAAAATTATGACGCCATGAGAGGGCGGACTTATTTGCATACAAGTGTAAATTCAACTATACTGTCCGTGACATTCAACCACAATAAATATTTGTTTGCAATGAAAACTGAAATAAAAATGAAACAAAACTATCCGACACAATAATATAGCTTGTATAATTTTAAATAAATATCTGATATTAAATCTTTTAAATTTGGGTGAGACTATGCTACAAGCGACCAACAAAAATAGCTGTTTACTATGAATATAATATCTATAAGATATCTTTGGATTATCTATATATTTCTGTTTGTTATTTCGTTTTTGTGGTGGCCCGAGGTTTGTGTTCAATTTGTAGTAACCTGCTTTAATATTTTGTTATGCTATTTTTTTCTTTTTTCCGCCTCTATATATTCATGGTGTTATTTTATTAATTGGTCTTATGATTTAATCCCCCCCTTCCCCCTACCTTTGTTGTCTGTTAGAAATACATTCTCTAAATTGCTCTCCGTCATAAATATGCATGAAGTATTTGCCACTGGACGTTTGTTAAACAACTATCAATCAGGTCTCCTCTAAAGTTTCAGTATAATAATGACTTTGACTTAAAACATAATTAAATAAATGATAAAAGATTTTAAGTTTTGTGGGAAAAAAAGAATATTGAATATAAAAAAAAAGCACACCCATTTTACCTTATGGGTTGTTTGTCTCATGATGATGGATGACTGTTTAAACTGAAAATGTCCAGCGGCAAGTTAGATGCATATTCCAGACGAGAACATGTTCATCTGCGCAAATTGCCTCTATACTCTGGTATATAGGGTATACAAGACATAATCTGGACTTCACACATGGATTCAAGAATTGAGGAGCTTCTCTTGAAGATACAGCATTTATCCCACATGCCATAGACGAAAGTGACAGTGAGCAGAGTGTAGTTGAAGAATAGAATTTTAATTTTATCATTGTTAAGTTACTGTCACATTGACGTTTATCTCAGTATTCTTCTTACTCATCTTTTTGAAACCTATTTGTTTTTATCGTACTGTTTTGCAACAAAGCAAGCTTTTTGAAAACTCTTAAAACATTTTTACAGGTTAATATAACATATCCATGATAAATTGTTTACATTTCTTTTTTAGATAATTATTTACTTGAATGGACGCAGCTTACATACACTTATATCGTCACAATCAACACCATATAAATAAAATAATATTACTTGATTTCTTTTAGTTTTAAAATGAATCCATGCACGTCATTCGGTATCTGGTTGAAAGTTGTCTTCTTTGCAATGATATCACATCTTCTTATTTTCATACATGTACGGATTGATGCACGATTCTGTTTAATTTGGCCAAATAATAAACAAATAATAACAAAGTACACTCTGTTTTGAGATAAGAATGATCGTTGTATGTGGAATACCGGAACACGTTAACCGCGAGCAAGACTAGTTATGATTATAAGATTTAGATTAATTAAGAATAAATTGACAATTGTTAAAAACTTAAACAAGAATTTCTGTTTAAAACTTAAAGGGGCAAAAGCTGTTTAATTCGTGTTAACCGATTTGACTCAAATTCTCATATTCGACTTATAACATACTAAAATGTATATCCAAATTGAAAACAAAGTATAAAATAAACAATTTATGATGCATATATAGACTCGATAGTATGTACCTGCATTTCGTGTGTATTTTTTTCTAGACGCCATCTATTTAATCACCAAGGTGACCTTCCGACGATTGCCGACGGTCATATAACCCGATATTAACATAAACATAGATATAAAAAGATAGTTAACTCATGCAATTGGATTTTTCAAGTTCTGTTTGATTTCATATTATAGGTTAAATCAATATGTTAATATTCGTTTTTACCTGTTTAAGAATAGCTGAACACGTGACGTTCATGCGTAACCCATCTCTAGCTAAGGGGCTTAATTGAAGTTCAAATGAATACGAATTAAATGAGGTCAAAATATTAACTTGCAAGTGAATAAACCATAAGCGATATTTCTTTGCCTATTTTAACAAAACTGACCAAAACTGACTGCTCAAAGCGAATTATTATTTCACTATTTCACTTTCATTAACGATTGAACAAAACACAATCATTTTTTTTTCTATATCTTGTAGCTAATGTCCCTTGAAAGAGAACACGAATCATAAAATAATAAAAGTATTTGTCCTTTAAAAACGTAATTGATAGAAACATGCAAAAGTCGGATACATTTAATTGAATATAGCTAAATCGCTAAATGAAATTGTCCACAATGGACAACTGAGAATGAGCATTTTGTCAAATGTTTGAGTTTTTAAAACTAGGCAGTGGCTATTTTGCCGGTGCTGGCAAAATAGAAAATAAGCTATTTTGTCGTCTTTGAGTAAAATATCTTAATCAAAACAAGCTAAATAGCATATTTCGATAGCAATTGCTATTTTGCCTGGGCCGGCAATATTGTGAATTTGTTATCATGTTTGCCGGTTCTTTTTAAAGAGTGAATTTTAATATTTAGTTTTGAAAAAATACTACGAAAATGTGCATTACTGTTCGGTGTGAGCCAAGGCTCCGTGTTGAAGACCGTACTGTGACCTATAATGGTTTACTTTTATAAATGTTGACTTGGATGGAGAGTTGTCTCATTAGCACTCATACCACATCTTCTTATATCTATTGTCAACATAAAAGAATCAAATTGTTATTCGACATATAGTTGAATAAGATAAGTTTCACAATATTTGAGAAACATTTAATCGTTTAAAATTATTTATGAGTCAAAGTGAAACAAAGAATTTGTAAAAAGGAATAAAAATAAAAACTATTGAGCATCCATTTGTGGCAATGAAATCTTATCAAAACATTAAGTTGAAAGTACTTCTAAAATCAGTCTAATGCTGGCTACCGCTTACCGAGAGTTTGCAAAACTAGCATAATTTTGGCGGCGCCGGCAAAAAAGCCACTTCCTTTAAACTAATACTTTGTCTAGTAAAAAAGTTCAGGGAAAATATAAAAAGGATACATTGAACCATTTAGGTGAGTTATATTATGATTTTTACAGGTGACTACATATTTCATGCGCTTTAGTTGCAATTAGAGCGAGATCAGTACTATGTAATGTGGTTACCGACGTAGGAATGGCTGTATTTAATGAAACTAACGTTCATTCAAATGTTTAGTTCTGAATGTTGATTTGAGAGTAAGCATGTAATCTTCCGAATGAGATTGATGTTTAGGAGTGCATGTGTGGTTCTGGTGTCTGATAACTTTTGTACAATTATAATATGTTCTATGATTATTGAAGTACATGTAATACTGTCTATACACATTATGTTATGTAAATCACGGGTTTTTTTTTTCCATTTACAAATACGATTTTGTGGTGTGATCAACTATCCTCACACCTAATAATCATTCCATCAACTAAATATAGACCTATTGTTTATAGTATCTTAGGAGAGGATCTAACTTTTGAAACTTAATATTGACCTTTAAACCATGAAAATGAGGTCAAGGACATATGATAATGCCAGACAGACATGTACACCTTAAAATTGTCATTTATTGAACAAATTGTAAATTCAACACAGTTTTATTCATTTTACAGTTCATTTCTTCTTTGTTTTGCACCTTTGAAAATATTAACTGTTTTTTCTTGTTCAATGAAATAACTATCTCTATATGAATTTCACCAATGCATCCAAATTTGATTTGTATAGTCATGTCCACTGCAAATTGCAAACATCATTCATAGTGCTGAATCTCCTCTCTTCTCATGCTGTTAATGATGGAATAAGCAAGCAATAGTAGTGTAATGTAATCTAAAGGTCTAGAGTTATAGCTCTTGAGAACATTGCAAAAATCAAATTCATATATACTATTATATACTTCATGAATGGGTCTCTGCATCTAAGTTCGCTAAAAAGATATGACACAAGATCAAACAACTTCTCTAACGAATTTAGTAATTGAAGATAGACAAAAAAAATGTATCTTATGAATAACTGCATGTTTTTACTCTTTTTATTCATTGGTATAGATATGCCTGGCCTTTGATAGCAGGGAGCATTAGGTTTTCCAGTCTGTGTCCATCCGTTTGTCTCTTAGACTCCTATTTATTGTTGAAAAAATAAATGTTGGTATTTACCCCTTGGGTATGTTTGTAGTTGGGTTGTTGTTTCAATTGCATATACCCCACATCTATTCAACACTGTAATTAAATCTTTGAATATTGGTTTTATTGGTAAAAATATTGATTTTGTTATCAGTAAATAAAAACCATACTAAATATTACACATATGTACTTTCACGGTACTACAATCTGTCGATACCTTTAGTTTGGCACTGCACAAGGTCATGTTTTTCTCTGACTGTTAATGACGTCGTTACACTTAATCTATTGGATGTTGGATGTGTACTGATTGATATTTTAGTCGTAGATACATGCTTTTTTTTTCTATTTATTGTTATTGGCTTTGAACTAGCTATCAGGAACTGCAAGTACTCCCAGTTCTGTGCTTAGTGTTTTGTTGTTGTGGGGATCTAAAAGTACCTGTCCACGTCCAAAGTAGTAAAATAACAAATCAGTATGAAAAGGTATCTCAATGTTATATCAAGATGTTTTCATAGTATAAAAGAATATCTTCATGACAAAGTAAAATGACAGAATAGTATGAAAAGGTAACTCCATATCAAAACGTCTTCATAGGATATACATTTATCTTAGTGATATAGCAAATTGACAGAGTAGTATAGTCAAATGTAGTAATAGTATAGAAAATTTGCTTCATGTTACATCAACCCTTGATGATATGATTATCGTTATCCTAAGGCAGCTAAGGCGTTCCAGAAAGCATTGTATTTTAATTATGACACTTATGACAAATAACGAGTGAAACTATACATATCTGTTAATTGAATTGTCAGGCCCTATGGTCAAAAGATAAAAATCAAAGGCTTCATATGTGGATGAGGCATAAACATTGTAATATTTCATTTATACAAGAAAGCCATTTCACTGTTAATTTAGAGAAAGAGTTGAACAAAGAATTCAGAGGTGATATAAATTACAGTTATGGTAATTTGTAATCAAGAGGGTTGTCAATTTATTTAATGAGCAAAAAGAGTATGCATTTATTGATAAATTTCAGGATGAAGAGGGGATGATAGTTTTGTTTAACATAAAAATCGAAGATATAATATATATATATATATATACTTTTGTAAATATGTATGCACCAAATTTACCAAAAAATAGAAATGTATTTTTAAAAAAAGTAAAAGGTATGGTACTGAAAAATAGTTTAGGGATGGCCATAAATGGTGGAGATATGAATGATACTCTATCAAACATTGACAAAATGAAATACAGCACAAATAAAAAATAAACACAAAAAACCAGTTAACAGTTTAGAAAATTTTATAAAAACACAAAAGTTAATCAACATTTGGAGAGAGACACATAGTAGCAATACACAATTTAAATGGAGACGAAACAATAGTATGCATTAAGCCTCTCGAATAGATTTCTTTCTTATATTCCAAGAAATAAGATCACATATCTGCTCAGCAAGTATAAGACCTGCATTTATATCTCACACAGATTACCAAGCTATCTCATTAAAGTTAAAAGGGAGATCACAATCAAAAGGGAAAGGACATTTTAAAATTAATAACAGTATTTTGGATAATATTGAATATAAAAACATAATAAATTGTCTAATTAAAAAAAAATAAAAAATAAAACAAAACTTACCAAGAATATTGGACATCAATGAGACTTATTGAAAATTGAGGTTCGAAAACACACGATTACATACTGTAAAAGAAACATAAGTGACATACATGTATTGGAAAATACGACTAAAAAATCAAATGGATATATTAACCGACATTGTAAAAATGAGGTAATAAAACATTTTTAGAGAAAAATTAATTAATAATGAAAGTAAATTAAAAAAAAAAAAAAACAATATATGTCATAAAACAAAAGGAGCTCAAATAAGGTCGAGGATTTAATGGGTAGAAGAAAAAGAAAAAAATACAAAATTCTTTTTGGGGTTTGGAAAAGCCAAACAAACAAGAAAAACTATAACTGCTCAGAGGGATAAATAAGATGGTGATACAAACTGAGCCATCCAAAATTTTAGAAATAGAAAAAGAATTCTATAAAGGTATTTATAAACGTACAAATCCAGATATAAAATTTATTAACGATTATATTAATGATACAAATATTGATCATAAATTAACGACACAAGAGAGTGATATAATTGAGGGTAGGTTAACTATTGAAGAGTGTACAGATGCATTATTTAAGATGAAATTGAACAAAGCACCTGGAAATGATGGGTTATGCGTAGATGTTTTAGAACTTTTTGAGAAGAATTAAGGGAATTAATTGTATCCACATTTAATTCTTCATTAAAAAGGGGAATTTACTACTTCTCAAAAATTAATAGTTATCTTTCTAATTCATTAAACAAAAACATCCACTTTGTTTAGATACTTATAGACCAATAACGTTATTAAAACTTGTTATTTAGCACACCTTTTTCGGATTTGTTCTGCTTTCTAAGTTTTTTAACTTCGTTTTTGATATGACCTTCTAACTGTTTTGATTAAAGCGACGTTGGTGAGTCGTATGAATACAAAACTAGCGCCTTCCACTCCTTATCATAAGCCTTGCATATTTAAATAGTTTTAATTGTATACATTTCTGAATAATACGTTACGTGCGTTTATGTTCACACTATACGGACTTTACTAACAGGGGTTTGCCTTTGACACCAAAAAACTGCTCCAAGAGAATTAAGAGGAAAACGAGTGCAATCGACACAACATACGTTTTACGGTCACCACCACGGATCGATGGACCTATACAATGTGTTTGTGTCACTAACTAGCGACATGTTTTCGTAATCTTAGATATTTTTACTTTAATAATTATCGGATCTATAAATTTACCGAGTGTGTCCTTATCCCTATTATTACAATTTGACTGAGTGTGGATATGCATAGCATGAGACGCTCACCCCATCGAAGCAACTGATCTTGCTCTTTTTGGGGTTCATGTGATCCCCGAGATTTTAGTCCTTTTTTACCTTTAATTGTACCTTCTTTTTTCGGATTGATGAAATAAGAACACCGGCAAACTATATTTCTCTTTTAACTCTTCTCATCGGCTGTAGCAAGATTTTGCTTTCGAACCGCAACTCGGTTATGAGATGGAAAAAATCTTTCCACTAACTCTTAGTACTAAGTCGTTGTGTTTTAAATACAAAATGCAGTTGTTCCTGAGCAGAGATCTATGCATCTCGTTGATGATATCAATAGTGAATTAAACAGAACTGAATTGAAGGTTGTCAACTGGGTAAATCATACTCTAGGTTACTAGACCAGCGGTAGAAACTTAAAACACAATTAATTTGATGCACCCATCGAGCACACGGCTAAATCATATATCACTGAAAAGAGAAAATTGTGAACTTTCAGATAATGGTGCCGTAACTAAAGACAACAGTAGTATAAAGCTGTTCAAGCCTGAGAAGTAGTCAAAACTTTGCAAATGGGGGTCAAATGTCACAAGTTATATATTTTCCAATATTGTCTTAAATGTATATTTCGGGTTAAATTCAGGAAATTAAAATATATTGAAAAATCAGAGGACATTATTCAATTCAGCCCTTATGAAACCTGTAGGTGATACAATTTCTGTTGAAGGATAACGTTTTTTAAACGTTAACATTGACGTTTTTCATTAGTAATGAAATTGTGTTTATCTATGAATTTATTTATTTTAGCACAGGGATAACCTTGAACTTTGATTGTACAAATTCACATGAAAATAAAGTCTTCAAACGACTTGGTATTTTGCAGCACTTTAACGTCAATTAAAGAACGGTTAATCACAGAATAAAAAAAACATCTTTGTAATCAGTTCCCCCTTAAGCTTCAACACTAGTTTCAAGATACAAACACTATTGTTACTGTACAGTAGGAAGATGTTGACAACAATTTAATACTGAAAGTTCAAAAATCAATGCTAGGTTTTTATTCATGCAAATAATGCGACTGGATGAGTATCGCAATAATATAAACTTACATCATGACACCTGATACATATATCTGTATTAAGCTTTTCCTGCAATCGCAAAAACTAATCAAAAATTGTTGTTGGTCATATCAAAATCACAATAATAAATGCTTGTAATCATTTTTAAATTTTAATTGGTTTATTTTTTTTGTTTCTTCTTTGACTCAATATTCTCTTTAAATAAGGTTTCTTATTTCAGCCGGAACAAACTGCATTGCTTATGCTTGTCATTTTTATATTAAAATAATCCATATACATATTTATATTGTACATTTTCAATTTTTTTTGCGAATTTTCAGTGTATAGGTGTTTATTTTTTGTCTCTCATTGTCACATTTGGGAAATTTTTCACTACATATATCACGAGTATGAAATATCCAGGTCTAGCCTCTCATCACACTGGCGTGCACATGCTGTAAAAAAATAAAGAATTTAATAAAAGGTTTGCCACTGGTAGAGTGTATATTGTATATGATACTTTAGGCATCTGTTATTAAAAGTTATATGAAGATTTTGATTTCATTTCTAACAAAAAATGAACAATTTTTCTAACCCGTTTCTCCTACTGTGTGCCAAGTTTTAGAAACATCAATAGATTAAGGGAAAAACATGTTTTAAGGTAGATAGGGTGTCTTCCTCCATCTTGGATTTTGAAATACCAGAAAACAATCGGTCTAGATCTTTAATAAAAGGTGCAAATTTTGAGAGTAGTAGGTAATTCATGTGTAAGAATTTTCATTTCAATATAGAAAATGAGATATTTTATCATTTTTATGATTGTATTTTACAAAAAAACGGAATACTTTTGTTTGATTCTATTTTTTCCAACTTTGTCACATAAGGGGAGGCAACTCAAATGAAAGGGCAGATAATTCAGATAAAGTTACTTTTACAATAGAATGTGTTAGGAATTTACCTATTTTATTATGTAGCAAGAAAACGGGTCCCGTGACCCCATTTTTTCTTTTTCTTATCTGAAAGCATACTATCAGAGCTATCTTTTCATATTTTATCTCAAAATTCTATGGTGCAGTTTTCGTTTTATGGCGGAAAATTAGGTTTTTCATGCATAATCTATACAAAATCTGTCAATTTTGCACAACCTGTAGCGTGAAAATAAGCCCCGTGACCCATTCTTTTTATAATTTTTTTTTAAAAAGCATGATATAAACTACATTTTGGCAAATTATTAAAAAATTCTATGGATTACAATTTAGACACCCCATCTACCTTAATCTGTTTACATAGGAGTAAACTGTCAGTGAAAATACTCATGGTTTAATTGATCAAATCTGTTTTTGTCTTTTATTATTTTCATGACAGGTAAGTACCGTGGATAGATAAAATGTACAATAGCCGCACATACATGAATATGATATGAGTTCTCAAATATCTGTACATATTTTTATGAATGATCACATAAAACTGTAACAATTTGACATTGGCAGCATGGTAGTTACTCTCTAGTTACCTCTTTATAGCAGTAACATGTCAAACTGTACTTTCTTTATGAACTTTGTCCTAGTTGATTTATTAGTTTGACCGAGTTGTCTCTGGACCGATTTCTCCCATATTCCCCCTCATTTTGATATATTGCAAGTGTCTCCAATATATTAAAAAATCAGAGACAAAATATACACTTTTTAAAAAGAAAAACAAATGGAAAATTCGCACAGGGCATGTACACACATTTTATGAGAGACAGCGGTACAGAAAAGCATTATTGGAACAAAGAGTAATAAGTTAACTGATAAGATAAGAATTAAGAAGAGAACTTTTTCTTTTAAGTTTTTAAGTGTGTATATATATATATATATACACAATACGTGATCTAGATATCTATATATATGTAACAAGATTTCAATCTTATATTTTATTTTGTCTGAGTAAAATGGAGAAGATGCGTTGTGTTATAATTTTCAAAATTACATGCAGGGCGGTTAAACTAATGGGACACCATGTTGCTGGAAAACAAATTTCTTCCCAATACAATACAATGATGCTTTCAACAATCAGGGACCCATATATTTTAAGTCTTTCAATTGTTATAATAGATTAAATCTACAACTACATCATGTACATCTGTATTTTATAATACGTAGCCTGAGCACCAAACTTTTTTCAACCAACAGTACACTAATTGGTCCGAAACAATCGACCCATATATTAAGTCTTTCAAAGGGCATAACTAAAGATTAAAAAAAAATCAGATTGTAAATTATTTATATTAATCACTTTATAAAAGGGGGTGCAAAGTTTTTTCCTGGTTTTATGACATTTTCCCGCAAAAAAGCTAGTTATTTGTTTGACAATTTGAAAGGGACTTATTCTGAATAAATATTTTTTTCTCTTTTGCCTGTTTTCACAATTTTATTTCTAAATTTAGAATAAGGAAAACATATTTTGTATTTTTTATCTCGCACAATTGTGCAATAAAGACATGTTCTGCTTCTAGTATTTCAGTATAATAAATGGAGTAAATGATTGTTTTTGTCTAAAACTTAAAGGAATATTTAAGATGGGAGATTGTATAGGAAACTGGCAACTGCACACGATTACTATCAAATGATGTTTTAAGAAACTGCACTCTGCATTATAATTGGGGTAAATAATAACCTTCCACAGGTCTTTGTTTTATGCCTTGAAGATCTTTTCATTGAAATTTGGTATTGTCCGCATTGTTTTTTTCACACTAACACTAATCTATCATACTGAAAGAAAATAATTGCATATAGGTATATGATATTGATATAATAAAATTAAGACAAAAACGCGTTTTAAGAGCTTTTTGCCAATACACTGCTAATAATATGTATGACTCAGTCTAAAAATGTTCCTTAAATGTTCATTCAGGTATGTAATGGGTAAATATTGTATTGTAAGGTCCCATTGAGGATCTTAGGGGGGGGGACCAGTGAGATTTAGACTTGTTTCATTTAATAAAAATTAAAGCTAACAGCAGTGAAACTTTTTTCATCTGTATTTTGTAAAATACCTACTACACAGCTTTAACTAAAAAATATAGCATATGTATATATGCCGTCAGCATTTTCTGTCTGTAGAAATAATGATTTCCATGCTCAGCTCTAACGTAAGTAATATTTTACCATTCAAGATAAAGGGATTTGTTCGCAAGTAATATTTTACCATTCCGTATAAAATGATTGGTTCGTTAACTCATAGTGTTGGCCATAGTAATAATTAATTTCAATACAATATAAAAATAAGAAAATGTTGTACGATTGCATACAATACAACTCTCAACCGGAGACCAAATGGCATAGAATTTAAAAACTATAGGTAACTCACGGCCTTCAACAATGAGCAAAACCCACACTGCATGGTAAGCTATAACAGGTCCTGAAATGACAAAATGTAAAACAATACAAATGGGAAAAGTAACTGCTTTAAATATGTACAAAGCAATAAATGAAAAAAAAAATATTTACAGCAACAAACAACAACCACTGAATTGCAGGCTCCTGACTTGGGACAGGAATAAACTGAATGTGGCGGGTTTAATTATGCTTGTTGGCGCCAAACCCTCCCATAACCTGAAACATTGGTGTAACAGTACAACATAAGAACAACCTATACAAATCAGTTGAAAATGTCTTATCTCATCAGATCGATGCAAAGAACAAACGAAAAACCTTACAAAATCACAAAAAACACAAAGTACAGAACTGAAAGTACTCCCAGTTGCTGAAAGCTGGTTCGAAGCCCATAACGACTAATGTATCTAAGAATCGATTATCAGGTTGTCTGCATATTGATATCGTAAAATATCAGCTGCAAGTCACAATATTAAGCTTTGTGTCGAGTGAGCGTAGCGAACAAGTTAAAAAAAGCTTCATATTGTGTCGAGCAGCTCATATTTTATAATATAGATATACAGACAACCAAATACTCGATTTATCGGGTTGAACGTATTTTGCATGATAAAAACTAGTGATTTCTTTGTTTCACCAACAAACTGGAAGATGACTTGATAAGTTCGGGTCAAACTTATCAACGTCAGTATATAAATGACGACGTCGGTGGATGTCCGAGTCAGAGTTATTAACGTATTTGACGTCACAAAGCCGCGATATGCAATTTTATTAAGAGCTGAGCAGAGTGATATAGACAGTTGGACGACCGATAAGACTAAAAAATCAATCAGTACACATTCAACATCCAATTAATTTTGTGAGAGAAAAACACGGACTTGAGCAATGCCAAAATATAGGGATTGACAGATTAAAGGACTGTGAATGGGTTTTAATTTGTTGATAATGACATCAGTATGTATACCAATAAACACAATATTCAAATATATAATTACAGTGTTTTAAATCATTTGTATTAAAAGTGTTTCAATTTTCAAAAATTGAGGATCTCAGCTCACAGTTAAGTAAGTTTACCCCGCCAGCCATTGTTAAGAATTCTCACAGGTCTTCCTCTGATTCGGAAAAAGAAAAGGAAACTGATAAAGATATGTTTAATTGTGAATTGATGACCCTAGAGAAAGTGAATTTTGAAACCTACTCAAATGTCAGCTGACTTTACCATAGAAAGATACGTCTAAAAATACCACGTCTGTGTACCTAAAAGTTGCCTCAGATGCTGTTAGCTTGGTTCTGAATTATATTGTTCAAACACAGGTAAATACTGTTTTCTCTGAAATATGTGGAAAAAAATTGATTCCTGTGATGAAAACAAGCAGGACATCTTAACAAGAGCACTAGTGAAGACCTAATTAGCTCAAGACAATGGGCTCTCTCAAAAACAAATACTATCACTATTTGCACATACATTCTCTAAAAAAAATCTCATGAAACTAATACCAGGAGTAACCATATCCAAAATTGATGCACCACGGAGGCATGCGTCTTTTGAATCACCGGCGCAAATATAAAACAATATCCAGAACACGTCTCACATGTCTCAGTAGGCCGAAAGTTCTGCATTCTGTAGAATTTATTTCTAGTCCAAGCTGTTGGTTATGGCTAAAAAAAAAAAAAAAAAAACCCAATCTCTATCTACAGGTGTGAAAATAACGATTGTAAAGGTGGTGAGAATATAATTTCTGCCAGACAAATTAATACATATCTTGCTGATTGTGAGGATCAAAATTTCGAGACATTTAG